AGTTCTCCAGACCCCAATAAAGTATGCACGCTTGCATCTATTGGCTGATGGTTACACATGCCAACTCTTCTGTTAGCTGAAGATCACCTAAAGTCCTACACTTCTCTTTGGAAGTCTGGGTCATCTGCCCCTCCACCCCAGTCTTCATTACTCTTTTCTCTTTCTGCCTAGTGCTTGGATCCAACAGAGAATTTCCACAAATGGTATGTTCACTGATTGCTCCTGCACCCCCACCCCGCCATTCTTGGCACAGAATTTTGGGCTACCGGGAGGGGGAGGGATCCCGCTCCCCGATAGAAATCCTATCAACAGAAATTGCTGGCTGCAGGCCTAACTTTGCAGCTATAGGGCTACGTATATACTTCGCTCTCTGATATGTACTCTAGCAATCGGTCATTATCAGATTTTAAGGAAAATTAAATTGATTGGGGTACCACTCGATTTGATCTACATGCTCGGGAGACATCAAGCCTTTTGCTTGCTCCGTCAGAGGTAAAAGGATATTGATAGGCAGTAGCAAATAGAACTTGCTCGCCCTTGGCCTTAGGTATCCTTCCTGAGCTACTCAAATCCGCAGAGCCTTCATGCTAGCTAGGATTGACATCTTGCCTACTGCAGTTCTCTATGGCAGATATTCATGGACGCTTCACGCCAAAAGGCTCTGCCCATGATAGACTAGAGTCCCTGAAGCCAAATCTCATATTTTACGCCACTGTCACCATCATCTTGAGCAAAGGAATCTTTTAATTAGCCCTCTTATTCATAATTTTATTGGTCACCCTTTCTTGGTCTTACCTTTCATCTGATCAAAATTCCATCACTAGTCAATTTGCTAAGTTTCTTTTAAATTTTCTGAGGTCATGGGAACAAACTGGGAAAAATTCCAGACGACTTATCTTCCACTTTGTTATACTATCTTAGTTATGACCCTTATTCTACTATTTTATATATTTGTAATTAATGCCTAATAATTACAAACACACACACATTGTGATTCTAATAGTGGATTTTATACCCAGTACCCTCATTCTAGGAGCTGCGGTGGCTCAAGTGGTTAAGACGCTGAACTGCAGGCTGTGGAAGGTCAGTAGTTCAGCAGTTCGAGACCCGGGTTGCCGCATGATGGAGGGAGCTCCCATCTCTAGTTCCAGCTCCTGCCAACCTAGCAGTTCGAAAGCAAGAAATTGCAAGGAGATAAATAGGTACCACTTCGGTGGGAAGGTAACAGCGTTCCGTGCACCTTGGTGTTTAGTCATGCCAGCCACATGACCACGGAAACGTCTTCGGACAGCGCTGGCTCTTCGGCTTTGAAACGGAGATGAGCACCGCAGCCCTAGAGTCGGATTTGACTGGCTTTCGAGCAAGGGAAACCTTTACCTTTTTTACCCTCATTCTACACCTTGTGGCAGAGCTGCAACTGAAACTTTATCCCATTTCCTATTTAGGAGTCACCTGTGCTCTTCTATAAGTGCCAATTTCCTACTGCCTTTATTGAGCAGGTTTCCCTGCGGCTCACATGATTTCCATTTGTATTATTTAACTGTTGGACACCGCCCTGAGCCCATTTGGGGAGGGCAGTATATAAATCTAAATAAATAAATTTGCAACATCTTTGGGCTGGCAAAAATAGGAGTGTAACTTTAACTACGGCAAAGTTCCTACTTCATGCTCTTAGAATCAGGTAGGCCCACGTTAAAAATAATAACTCTGGGCTTAAGTACTAGTGGGACTATAGACTCTGTTTGTTTCGCCAAGGTGCCTTGGGGCACGCACGCAGGCGTCGATTCTGGCACAGGAACAGGGTTGCCAACTCCAGCAAGCCTGGAGATAGTAGCCTTTAGAGAGCAGAGGAACGTCAGAAGTATATAATGCTGCGGGAGCCACCCTCCAAAGTGGCCATTTTCCCCAGGGGAACTGATCTCTGTCATCTGGAGATCACTTGTAATTTGTGATCTCCAGGCCCCAACTGGACGTCGCCAGCCATAGTTCCTCTGCACTGCTTGGAAAATACAGTTCTTCTGTGCATAAGGGTTTCCCTCCAACAGTTTTTTTTAAAAAGGAGGTCATAATTGGGCACAGATGAGGAAGTAGCATCTTCTTAGGCGTGAGCTCTGGCCGATTATTTTTTCCTGTTGGGTGTGTGTTCTCCAGTCAAGGACCGCCTAGTTCAAAAGAGGAAAACAGGCCCCTTCCCAGCAAACTGTCTCCCCACTCGTCCTGACCGGCTCCGACAGAAGGCGAGAAAAGGACTAAGAGTCTCACCTCAGCTGTCTCATCGGCGCTGGATTTCTGGTTTCCTGAGTCCCCAAACACATCGCTTGCGGCGCTGCTTCAGAGGGCCCCCGAGACAAAGCAAAGGTTGGCTCATCTTCGAAACCGATTGGGAAAAAAAGGATGTGGCGGAGACTGCTTGCTCACTTCCTGAGCACACCCTGCGAGGCTCTGAGGCTCACAGAAACGCACTTCCTGCTCCGACCGTCGTTTCCACAGGTGCACCCCACCCTCAAAGGCCTCACCAGCCACATCAGCAGCAGTATTAAAGGAGGTCAACATAAAACGGCTGCCCAACTGCCAAAAATGTGACCCACGCTCAAGAGAAAAGGGAGGAGGGGAAAAAACCACCACAGGAGGAAAATACACAGCATAAATTTAATTCAGCTACCATGGAGAACAATTAAATTAGGGGTCGAAAACTATTACAGCCAAGACAGTTCAAGTTTCCAGGTTTTCTTCCCTTTTGTGAAGGGAAAGGGGAAAAATATATATATATTTATATATGCATATATACACACACTCAGGATTCAAATGAGGTTATGAACACTGCTGGGATCATAAATAAAGGAATCGAGACAAAATGAAAATACCCACCAGCCAAAAAACACAAAGCCACCAAGAAACCACACACGCACAAAAAAAAAGTGTACACAAAAACACAAGGGCTAAAGAGGTAGATTTTTGAAGGGGTGTAAAAACAATAAAGGAATAGATTATAAAAAAGGGAGGATTAGGAAGAAGGGGAGAGGTTTATCTGGCTGTAAGCTGGGCGGGGGCAGAAGAGAAGGAAGGAAACTTCTCAGTAAAACACTGGCTGAGAAAGGGCCTAACTAAATACAGCATGCAAATGCGTGTAACTAAATCCCAGTGGCTGGCACACCTAAGACCCTCCACACAACTGAACCTTTTCCTTTTCCACAACTATTTGCACTCCTTAATAAAAATCCAACAGGGCCTGTTCTGAGGGGCACAATTCCATTATATATTTACTCAGAAGTAAACCCCATTCTAGAGGTACAGCTTCATTTTGCAACTGTCCTGTTACAATTTTACTCCTTTGCGCTGTGTTGTCTCACAGTCACTTCTTGCTTGAGGACAGTCAGTTAATTACTACCTTTTCTCCCCACAGCCAGGTTTTTTTTAATGATTTAAACCGCACCGTTTGTGGGATTATCACCATGAAACAAAAAAAAGGGGGGGGGGGAAATGAATGGACAATTGCTTTGGCCACAAAGAGAAAATTAAAATGTGTCTGTCTGCTCTACCCACCCATTCCCTTTCCTGGAATAATAACTGATTAAGGATCCTATTCAAGGATGCTACAGCCACTGCACAGGGATAGAGAAGAAGCAATAAAGGAAGGCAGGAGGAAAATGTAAAGGGGCAGTAGCCCTTGCAAATTTTAATAGCACTGTGCCAATCCATGAAGGATCAGGTGGGCCCATGGGCGGGGGGAGAGAGGAAAAGAAAAACACCACAGAAAATACTGAATTGCAACATGTTATCCACGTTATCTAGATTCTCTATAAAGACAAGTCAATGACAATTCATTTCAGACTATACTCCTTGTAATAACCTCTGATTATTATTATTTTTAAATCCAACTGGGTAAATTTGGAACATAAAAATGAGTGGAAGGGAGCAAGGTGGTGAGCTCTTTTCCCCCCCTCACTACTTTTCTGCTTCCAACAGCCAACGTGCTTTTTACTCCATCCTGTCCTTTGTTTCACACTACAAGTTTGCCAAGGTTTTGGGGAGAAAATATTGGGTCTGGGAGGCGGCATTTGGAGCAGAAAAACAGTGGGTAGGGAAGGAGTTAAGCGTGCCCCTATCCCCAGTTGCTTCTCCGGGTCGAACGGCACCTCCCCAACTGCTTTCTTCTCTTTTTTTAAAAAAAAGGTTGTGGGGGTTCTGTTACACGTCTTTGCATATAAATGTTTAGTTAGGCCCAAAGTCTCTCTTAAGTCGTGGAAGAAGATCCCACGGGGACAGCACAACGCAAATCAGTGAGGAACATCTAAACGGAGTAGTCACTGAGGAAATAAATCTATCCTTTAAAGTGTTCCTTTAGCTTTGTGGGGGAATAGCACACCTACTTATTTCAGAAGGCCCGTGGGAAGAGGAGGGAGGTGTGGGCAGGTGAGTAAGTGGTGGGTTGAGGGATCCTAAAGATGGGAAAAAACAAGAAGTGGGGAAAGATTGTGAAAATCTGGAGCGAAAAGAAATAGGCAAAGTATAGACAAAGGAACCTCCCTACCCCCACGCCCAACAGGGGCGACAAGTCCCAACCCCAGATGGAGGATCACAGAGGGAAGGATTCATCAGTGAGGACCGGGCAAGGCCGGGGGTGTCAGGCAACAGTGCAGAAATTCTGGGGGGTGGGAAGGAGTTGCACGAGGGGAAACCTACAACCTAAAGGGGTCTTCCAGTGCAGAACAGTAAAGGTAAAGGGGAAAAGACATCGATCAAGGCAAAAAAACACCCTTTCCCACCCACCCCAAATAATAAAAAAGACAGACACTCCCCCCCCACCCCAAATGTTTGTCCATGAGTCAAAATATTCAAGAGTGCAGGATTAAGAAGAGTGGCTTTCACTTTTCTTCTTCTTCTATCTCTCCGTGTCCAGTGGGAAAGTTGTCAGATTCAAACCTTCTTCCCTCAGGTTTTTTCCCCATTTCCCTTTTTCTTTCTTCAACCCCTTCTGCAAACACCTTCATCTCTCCTCCTTTTTGGACACTTTGGAGGAATGCCATGCTGTTGAGCTGTCGAATGGAAAAGACAAAGGTGTGAAAAAAAATCCTTATCTCCTCACAAAACTGAAGGGAGACTAGTAGGTAAGATGGCGGACATTCTCAGGGTGTGGAGAATTCCAGCGACACCTCCAGGGGGCGGCATCTGAACACTCACCGGATGAAGGTTTTGAAGGCAGCCGATTGGGGGTTGATACAGAGAGGGACGCGTTTACCCCGCTGCTGGTCCAAGATAAACCTGTGCACCAGTTCTGGAAAAGAAGGGACCCCTTTCATTCTTGGCTCTTTTTCTGTTGCATCCTCTACGGGTTCCCTCCATTTTGTCCTGTCCTAGTCATTTGCTCTCTATTGCTTGGTATTTTGTTTTAAAACTGGAGTGCCCTGTACAATCTTCATAAACTGGGGTGGGGGCCCCCAGATTGTGCTTTCCAGCAGGGCACCATGTTACATAAGAGACGCCAATGCTGGATCAGGCCAAAGGCCCATCCAGTCCAACACTCTGTGGCCAGAAATACCAGGTGCCATCAGGAGGTCCACCAGTGGGGCTAGGACATTAGAAGCCCTCCCACTGTTGACCCCCCCCCCCAAGCACCAAGAAGACAGAGCATCACTTGCCCCAGAGCCCCTATCTATACCTTGTGGCTAATAGCCACTGATGGACCTCACTGATGTTAGGACCACAGTGCACCAAATCGATTAATAGCAGGCCTGAATCATATGCACAATTCCTGCTTTGTCCACAGGACACTGATCCGGTCTACATGGGTAGGACTTTACAGATGTAGGCCCTGAAAGAGCTTTTAACAGAAGTATTATACCTACGATCCGCTCTTACAATATCTCCCAGAAGGACTGCTGGACACGTCCGCATCGGTGTAGTGCTTCAGAATCCAGCACACTCAGCCTGTTCATCGGTCCTATGCAAATATTGCCCTGACCTCAATGGCCCAGGCTAACCTGTTCTTCTCACACCCTGGAAGCTAAGCAGGGTCAGCCCTGGTTGGTACTTGGATGGGAGACCACCCACGAAATCCGGGGTCTATCTGTCTGTCTGTCTGCCTATCACTGCTCATACAGCTACAGCCTTGAGCAGAAAATGAAATGATAAAATAAAGCCTCACTTGATGTTCTTCTTCTGATGTTCAATTATTGCCCCTAAAAGCTTTGCCACCGAGTAACAGAATCATTTGTATCTGATAATAACCACGTCACCTCTGCCCTTGTACTATCAGGTGCCTCGTTAGACCTTTTCTTTTTAATTAAGTTTTTTTAAATTAAATAAGTATAACAATAAACGTAAAGGAGTAATTAAACTGGCCTTCCACTCATTAAATATAGGACACTCCATAATCATATGCTCAATAGTTTCAACTTTATCAGATGAGCATCTACAGATCCTATTTGTATATGGCACTTTTTAATATCTGCCCTCCAAGTCCAGAGTCGTGATTGGTGTTCCCTCTAAGCTGAGTTAGTGTGAGCTAGCTCACAGTTTTCTAGCCTCCGGCTCACATATTTTTGACTTCGCTCAGGAAGGATGGCTCCAGAGCAAACTAATTTATGGAGTACCCAAATCGCTCGCTCACATCTTTAATGCCAGTAGCTCACAGAGTAGAATTTCTGCTCACAAGACTCCACAGCTTAGAGGGAACATTCATGATGCAAAGGCAGGCACTGCTGCCACTAGGATTAGAATTCGGCCTAGGTTGTTGTTTGCTTTATTGTCTACAAATCTCAACTGCCAACCTTCTGTGAAAATACTGAGACCGAATCTTTTACTTGCTGCTAAAACCGCTACTGGAAAGGGGTGGTGGTGGAATCAAATGGCTTCATGAAGATCCGGATACAGGTAAAATCAAAACTGTGCAAAGCAAAGTAAAGCTGACTGGAAATGGGCCGTCTTCCTTTTCATGGATTACCGGAGACATCCCACAGCTTTTGTAAGAAGAAAACGTTCCGTCTGTATCGCCTGCGTTACGCTGCACTGTATTACTTTCTCCCTGCATTACATTTCTAACATTTACAGCCGCAGCAACACAGCCTAGATCATCAGGAAAGCCCCCGGCCAGAGCAGGACTTGCAGTCAGTCCCACTCAGGGACAACCGGTCAAGGACCAAGTTGCCGTGTCTGAGGAGACAGACAAGTAATAATTATAACAATCAGACATTTGAAGTACTTCACAGAAGGCACGATAATCTTTGTAATGACCCTGTAAAACAGGCCCTGTATCACTGGTGCCCATCTAACTATGCCGTTGCTCCAAAGGAACAGCATTTCTGTTTGTGGAACAGAAAGGGACGATTTTTGCCAATCCCCCCCCGCCTGCACTGCAAGAGTTCACTTTGCCCCCTAAGCTCTTCTGGAGCTACAATGAATAAAATTTCAGAGGGGTACAGTAGAAGGAGTGGGAAAGTCCCGCTCTGTGAAGTCCAGAGATGTCTGGATGTATCCCCATTTTTTTGGGGGGGGGGAGCACTAAAGCAGCAAGCCTCTCTCCAGCCCTGTTCACATCTTACAGTGTGAGTATACATATACATCCTGCATGCATATGTGCATATAAGAAAGAGCCAGTGCATATTTGCTTGCAAATGAAACGGGGGCCCAGTGCCTGGATAAACATGAGATCAGAATCATACATTCAGCTGTATGGGCATTAAATGTAACACGAAAATTACTCAAAACATGTATTTTTTAAAAATCAAGTGTCCACTGATTGTACGTGCATGCACTGTAGCTTGTGAAAAGGGCTTGCACACACACTGGTTAACGCACTTTCAAAGCACCTGAGTGGCCATTTACAAGTGGATTTTGCTGGACAGTCTCAATTTCCTTGCTTGCAAGTTCCTGTTGCTTGGGGGCAGGGTCTGTTCTATATGCATTTTGCTCCCTCTAGTGGTTGATTCGATATTACATCGGTTTATGTACAGCATAAAAACACAGAGACATACGCTCTTGGGAACTTTGACTCTTGCAAGCATATACCCTGGAGACCTTCCTGGTCTCTGAAGTGCTACTGGACTCAAATTTAGATTTTAATGTCGTCGTCCGTCCATCCCCCCCCCCCTTTTATTTTTATATCTGTTCTCTACTTTCAGCTTATCAAAGTAGGCCTGGAAAACCTTTTGCCTGCTTTTCAACACAAACAAACAAGCACACTCTCCAGAGGGCCAGTAGGAATGCCAGAGGCACTTGGGGAATCAAGCCAAGAGCCCCCCATGAGGCCCAGATGGGCTACCTTTGACCTGCCAGACCGACGTGAGATTCTTCTCATAAGAGCCATCAAACTTGGGGTCCGCCCGGGGCTCAAAGTCGCTGGTGTAGACGCGGCCCGAGGAGACGGAGAAACAGCAGGTACACATGCATGTGTGGTAACGTAGCCTCCCCTCGTCCAAGTAGGGATGAGAGAGCGCGTCCTTGGCAGAGATCCTTTTGGCCTGAAGGTCAGAGAGCGGAATTCAGAATGAATAAACTTAAGAACATAAGAGATGCCAATGTTGGATCAGGCCAAAGGCCCATCCAGTCCAACACTCTGTGTCACACAGTGGCCAGAAATACCAGGTGCCATCAGGAGGTCCACCAGTGGGGCCAGGACATTAGAAGCCCTCCCACTGTTGATCCCCCCAAGCACCGAGAAGACAGAGCATCACTTGCCCCAGAGCCCCTATCTATACCTTGTGGCTAATAGCCACTGATGGACCTCTGCTCCATATGCTTATCTAATTCCCTTTTGAACTTGTGAGAGAAAATTCTCTCTGGATCGGTAGGTTCCTTCTAGAACCAAAATCACGCAGGCACTGTAAAGCACAGAAAGGGTCACACGTAAACCAATCAAGGCATCAGCCACTCAGATGTAACACTGAGTCCTGCAGACGTCTGAAGTCCGCCACCCTTTTGAAATTTCCACTGCCAATCCTGACAGGTCAAGATCATCATGAATGTGCATCGTGTTTTACATTACAAAAACAGATGCCCCAACTCCAAGGAGACCTACAGGCAAAACTGCAGTGGAAAAGAGAACTGATATTCGCATTTCAAAAGGCACCAGTTCGAGCTCAAACAAAAACCCCTTCCTGCCAGAATATGCTGTATTTTGTGACCAGAATTTAAACACACACACACACACAACAACAACAACAACAACAATTAAACATTCAAATCAGAACTCAACATGTGAAGCCTGCAGGGAAATTTGAATATTCTTCAATCGCCAAAATTAATTTTAACGAAAATCATATTAAACTGCTGCCTTAAATGAGCGCTTCAGATTAAAGCCAGTTAAAATCTGAATTAATTACTCCTGACAGGAATTAATAAGGCTTAGAAAAACCTAGATTAGCATAACCCATACTCAACCGCCTAACGGATAATACTCAGGAGCAAATCAGAGGGCAACTGAGGTCCCCTGGATGAATTCTAAAACTAGAGTTGTGCATATTTTCCCTGCAGACAGTTCAACCCTGGAATCCTTGAACGTACAAAGCCCTGGAATCACTCAAAGTACAAAGCTCTGGCCTTCGGTTTGGCAGTCCCAAGACTACGTGTTAGGCCACCCTGGTGCGTCTGAGAGGGAGACACCCCCAACCAAGTGTTTCCGTTGACTCTCTGGAGTGAACTCACCGGGTCAAAGACCAACATCCGGCAAAGCAGATGGATGGCTTCATGAGTGGCTTCCCCCGAGAGCATGTAAAGGACAGACAGCGAGGGCTGGAAGGCAAGGGAGGAGAGAAACTGCTGAGGGGCACAGCTGTCACTGTTCATTCCACTCCTGCTTTTACCACTGACCGATTCTTCTCCCCACCCCACCCATACTCACTGGCTTGTGATTGCCACGTAGTATGTGAGCACGGGCCCCCTCGCAGGCCGAATGGAGGGCAGCCACCGGAGGAGTCCCCAGGAGATCCGTAATCAGATCCAGCTGCCGTCCGCGGGAGAGGGGCCACCACCAAGAGGGTAGGAAGGAGGAGGGAGCACAGACAGGAGAGAGAAGTGTACTGTCAGTTCTCAATACCTTTCTCCAGATTTACATCACCCTCAATTGGGACCTCGCAAGGCTGTTTCTTGACTGGTGCCAGAATGTTAAGAATGAGGATTATGTGGCGGGAACATTGGCCTAATAAGTAAGACAAGGCCTATCAACATTCCATTTCCCTCAGTTACCAGCAGATGGCTGCAAAATCCCCAAGTTTCATTAGCTGGAAAATGGATTTCTTCTGGCACCATTAAGGAACACAACAAATAGGGTCGTTCTGCTGACAGCATCTGATGCCCACTGTAACACTTGTAATTCTTTTATGGCACTTAGTGCTGACCCAGTTCTTTGAAAGTCCAGTAAGTGATGACATTTTGCTGCCACCCAGTGACATGTAGATCGATAATTGCTCTTTACCGCCATCTTGTGGACATTTTCTAAGATTACACACAATGGCAATCGGAAATACACTCTTGACACCCTCTGGTGGACAGGTATGGGACTACATGCACAAAACACACTTTCCCCCCTATATCGTTCCGTCAACCATAAGTACCTGCTGAATGGGACTCTGGGCCTGGAAGAGGATTCGCCTGCCCAGGAGCTCAGCAAAAATGCAGCCCACAGACCAAATGTCAATTGGGCGCCCATAGTGCCTGGTACCCATCAGGATCTCAGGGGCCCGGTAGTACTGAGTTACCACCTCTTGAGTCATGTGCTGGGACTCATCTGGCTCCTCTACCCGGGCCAAACCAAAGTCACAGATCTGAAAGAAAGACGGGGAACATGTTACGCATCGGAGCAATCTAGAATTTATTTTATTTTTATATTAGCCTATTTATACCCCGCCCTCCCCGCAAACAGGCTCAGGGCAGCTTACAAAGTCGGTATAATGTACCTGGTATACATAAAACAATTAAAACAGTTTGAACAGTTTAAAAACAGTTAAGCAATCATACATTTAAAATGCTCGCAGTCAGTGTTCCCCCTAAGCTGAGTTAGTGTGAGCTAGCTCACAGTTTTTTAGCCTCCAGCTCACAAATTTTTGTCTTTGCTCGGGAAGGAGGGCTCCAGGGCAAACTGATTTATGCAGCAGACAAATCGCTCGCTCACGACTTTTAATGCCAGTAGCTCACAAAGTAGATTTTTTGCTCACAAGACTCCACATCTTAGAGGGAACATTGCTCGCAGTACTGATCTCCATTTATTAAGCTTTGAATGGTGCAGCCTAAACAACAATTAGTTCCCCCAGTTTCCCCTTCAGCAGCCTTCTGGCCACCCGCAGAGACCTAGCTCTATCTCCATCCCTATCCCCAGGGCCGACCCTATCCACCTCGATGGTCAGATGGTAATAACTGGTGGTAGTGGTGGCTCCTAGTTGAAAGCCTGGTGGAAGAGCTCCGTCTTGCAGGCCCTATGGAACTGTAAAAGGTCCCTGATCAAGATTATAGAGATGTGGTCCTCAGTTATCCCCAGCTTCTCTGTGCTATGTACTGCCCACTGCTGAAATCAATGAGCTCTCTTGGTAGGATAGCTTTATTATTGTTTCATTTCTACAGTGAGAGGTGCTGTGGTTCAAACCTGTGTGGAAGTCACATCCTCCACACCTAGGAATAGTTCCTTTCTGATTCTAAGTGTGAGTGGAGGCTGGCTGTAGTTATTCAGTAATAGCTAAGAATGAGAAAGAACTTCTGGGCTCGTCTAAGTGTCTCATCCTCACCCCCGCTTTTAGCCAGGTGCTTCAGCAAGGTGGATTTTAATTTTACATAGGAGCGGATGGGGACAAAGGAAGGTCAACATTAGGTAGCTGCATGCAAGGCACCAGTGAGGGATGGGATTTGAACCTGGGTCTTCTAGAGCTCTAATAAATGGAACACTTATCCCACAACAATCAGAAAGCAGGCAGATGCCTACACCAGACAGTTATGCATAAAGCAAGCAATTTAGCAAACCGACAGTTGTGTTATTGAAGAAGAGAGAGAAGAGATTGATTTATAGCCCGCCTTTCACTATCTGAAAAAGTCTCCGAGTGGCTTACAATCTCCTTTCCCTTCCCCTCCCCAAAACACACACTGTGAGGTAGGTGGGGCTGAGAGAGCTCTCTCGAGAACTGCTCTTGAGAGATCCGCTCTGAAAGAACTTATGACTGACCCAAGGCCACACCAGCAACTGTATGTGGAGGAGTGGGGAATCAAACCTGGTTCTCCCAGATTAGAATCCACGCTCTTAATCACTACACCAAACTGTGTTACTGGTTGGTTGGTCCCCTCCATGCAACTCATCATCCTGGTGAAATACCTCCTATGCTCTCCCTATGACTTTGCTGAGTAGCAACAGAGAGAATGTCACTTGAAAGTCTCCCCCTGTTGGCTGTGAATGGTGACTTACCTTGAGGACACAGTTGCTGTTGACTAGCAAGTTCCCAGGTTTGATGTCCCGGTGAAGAACACCGGCAGAGTGCAAATATTTCAGGCCTGTTGAAGGAAGAGGGGAGAACAAATTAAGGGCTGTTGAAAGGCTTGACCGGAGCAGATGGAGGGCACAGGGAAACGATATCAGGTGTGACAAGCTCAGAGAGTGAAGGAAGAAATGGCCAAAATGAATGAGGCAAGATGGGAGTCAAGAAAAATGAGGAGAGAAGAGAGAAGAGGAAAATTTAAGGAGTGGAACAGTTCAGGGATTATAGCTTCTGAACGGTATCTCACTCTGTAGAGGAGATCCACTCTTTGATCATGAAATTTTACTTTTTTTAGCATTATGTTTTTTTTATCCCACCCTTCCACAAAGGAGCTCAGGTTAGGCAGACAGAGTGACTGCTGCAAAGTAAGCATCATGGCTGAGTAGGAATTTGAATGCTGGTCCCCACCACCCCCACCACCCTGAAATCCCACACCCACCCATCCTGCTTCATGGGCCCCACCTTCTTAAGTAAAGTGAATGACTACTAGCGGCAGGACTTTTTCAGTGGTGGCCCCTCGACTCTGCAACTCCCTCCCCACAGCTGCACACCAGGAGCCAAAGTTATCCAGCTTTAGGTGAGGACTTCCCTTTATGGCCAGACATTTGATTTTTTTTTCACCTCTTCTTTGCTTTCTTCTGTACAAAGATTGCCGGTCTATATTGTTTTCACTGTTGAGCTAGCTTTTAGAGGATTCTAGGGGTGTTTTTTTTTTTTTTTTTTAAAGAAGGATGTTAAATGTTTATTTCTTCATGCTGGTTTTATTTATATATATTTAATTATCCACTTCACCCTGTAAGCCACCATCTGCCGAGAGCAGGCACAGTAAGTTTTCAAAACGAAGAAGCAAACCAACAAGGTCTGGCTTACCCCTGAGGATTTGATACAGAAAGACCTTGATGTGATCGGCGCTGAGGGGTTGCGGAGACACAATGACTTTGTGAAGGTCACTTTGCATCAGCTCTGTGATGACGTAACTTGTGGGGACTGTCAAGGAGGATGGAGGAGCAAGATGGGTTGGAAAATGCATGGTACGCACACACCCCCAGCCCTCCCTAAAGTAAGCAAAAAGAAAAACAGGCCTCCCACTTGCTGGCTTGCCGCTTCACTAACCGAGAAAGCAGAGAGAGGACTGTATGAACCCAAACACAGGAGGGCTCAAACAGCCATGGCAGGAAAAGAATTTGCAGAGTGAAAGAATGCGACACAACTGGGAGAGCAGAAAAAGCTGGACTAGTCCAGGGTGGGGGGGAATAAGCCCAGCATAAAACCACAGCAAGAAAAATACAGACTGAAGAACTCAGTGCAGTTTTAACTGGACAGGACAGGGGGGGGAAACACAATTTCAGAAGAAGAAAGTATAGCAAAGGGGGAAAGGCGGCAAATAAATAAGGGTACCTTATATTTTGACCTGACCAGGATAGCCCAGGATAGCCTGATCTTGTCAGATCTCAGAAGCTAAGCAGGGTCGGCCCTGGCTAGTATTTAGATGGGAGACCTCCAAGGAATACCAGGGTCATGCTGTGGAGGCAGGCCATGGCAAACCGCCTCTGAATGTCTTGTGCCTTCAAACCCCACAAGGGGTTGCCATAAGTCAACTGTAACTTGACGGCATTTTCCACCACCACTTTACATTTTACTTCTAATAAAAGGCACAGAAAGGAAGAAATTATAGCAAAAGGAAGCAAAGGAAAGGCAAAATATGTAACAGAGATGACCTGGGGGGAGGACGCCATATCACACCACAGAGAGCCCCTGATCAGAGGTGGGAAAACTGGGCAAGGAGAGAACGGGAAACAAACCTGACAGAGATTGTAAATGAAGGAAATTAAACCAGGGATGGGAATAAAAAGGCACAATATAAATAAATGGGGGGAAAGTGACGGAGAGAAATAATACCCCCATTAAACAAGCATTGAGAAAACAAGAAAAGTGGATAAACAAGAATATGAAAAGGGCAAAAAAGGAAAGATAGCAAAGTATGAGTTGGCAGTGAAGTATGAGGCTTGAGCCTGTATTTGGAGCAAAGGATACATTTCCTCAAAACAGTCGATTTGTGGAGGCTGGAGAATGTCCAGTGCCGAAAGGACCTAAGGGGGAGAAAAAGTGAGGACAACATTCTTCAGCATGTCGTCATAGAGAGGTGGGACGAGAAAGCTGCCTGTCCCGCAGGATTTAACATGAAACCGGCTTAACAATTCGGGTTCCCCAACTCCCTCACCAAGGCCAGCGCCAAAGAATTCAGCCTCTAAGGCAGAAAGGTCCAAGTACTTCTTCCTCTGGCCCAGCAGCCACAAAATTATGGGGAAATTAAAGAACTAACCATTCCCTGGCATTTCATGACACCCCAAATGTGACGCCTGAGGGGAACAGCAGCTGAATGCTGGAACCGGCCCTGCCTTCCCTCTGCCCCTGTGCCGACTGAGGTCCACAGCAACACCAAGCGATCCCTTCTCAGCGGGGCCAAGAGCTCATCAAACTCCGCAAGCGCCACACACCTGCTAGCCCTTCAGTATCTCAGATCCCCCAAATTACTACCTCAGGATCCCTCTCCACTCACCCACGCACACTTACATTGTCGTGCTTGAAGTAGCAGAGCATTTTCAGCTCTCTGAAGACCCGTTTGCAAGAGACCAGGTTCTGGAAAACGTTGGGCATCTTTTTGAGTGCAACTCGTGACCCGTCTCGGGGATCAGTTACTGACCTACAGACAGAGGGACAGACATTGCATCTTTCAAGTTACAATTCCCTGCTCACCCCCCCTCCCATTCCTCCAGCTCTTTTGGTCTTCACCCCAGAAAAGAAACCCCCTCTTCCACTCACCAAACCACGCCAAAGGCTCCGTAACCGATAGGCCGGTCTGGTTCGGGCTCCACCATCACCGTAGCAGTAGGGGCTGTCGGCTGCTGCTGGGGGGAGGCTACCTGTACCCCATTATTGCAATAGAACTTCTGCCCCCCACCTAGCCCAGCAGCTAGAGGGGGTTGTATTAACCCAGTCAGTGCCCCGAAAACATTGCTACAAAGCTGGGTTTGCAGGGGGTGATTGGGGTCCTGAAAAGCCATTGGACAAATTTGGGAGTGGGATACTGGTTTTTGGATGCAGGAGGAGGAATTGAATATCTTCAATTCCAATGAAGATGTGCGTAAAGAATGCGGGGAGTCTCGGAGTGGGGAGAAGTCGGTGGGTGTGTGGGTGAGAAAGCTGAATATGGGCTCCTTTGAGCCACAACTTCGGGGGAGATACCTAATAAAAATAGAGGTGCTACAGAAAAATTAGCTGTCTCTCAGGTTTGCGGGGCAGAAATGCACTAGATAATATGTCTACAAGAGATCTCAACCTCTTTAGGGAATGGTGTGAGTTAGTGGGGCTGATAAGGAATAATTTGTCAATTGTCAATTTCCAAGCAGATTCTGGGGGTGAAAGATATTGAAAAGTTTTTTTGGGGGGGGGGGGAGCTCTGAGTCAGTTTGGGATGCTGGGGAAATGACTGGCGTTTAAACAAAGAAATCCTGGGCCTGGGATTATTGGAGAAGTATTTAATAGAAGGCAAAGGGGCACTCCGGTTTTAATCGTGATTGGGGAATCTATAGTTTATTTTAAAGGCTAATACAAAATCTGGACTCTATAGAAATGTCATGGAGGACCCAGCCTTTCCCTGGCTGTTGGGTTGAAAAATCTGGGGACCCCCGTGGACATAAATGGGGGTGAGAGTTCTTAATTATTGGAGAAACAAATTTAAGCAGAGCCCTTTTCAGGGGAAGTAGTAAATTTTTCAAGTGCACTTCAAAGTCTCAAGGAACAAGTCTATTGCCTTTCTAATAAGGGGAGGATTCCGGGGTGCACCACAGGAATAATGGGGGGGGGAAATAAATCTAATAAAACTAAAGTTTCAAGAACTGCAGCACTTTTAGCCGGTTTCCAGAAAAAGGCAGGAGAATCTGGAGAGAACCCTTACCAATATGAAAATGTTGGTTCTGAGCGAAGAAGGATGCCCACCGATTTCTTATTCCAGAAATTGAAATCACTTTGGAGAAAGTGCCCAAATCTAGGACAATCCCCCCCAAAAAGGTGCCTATTAACTGGGGGAGGGGAAAGCCGTCTGCAGAGATAAAGGATCAGGTGCAGATACGGGGTGGGGGGTGTTCCCCCCCTCCCAATGGGAAAGGAAGCAGGGAGGTGTCCTTAAAGTCGACCTGAAGGTGCTTTCTCCCGTCCGGGGGCGCGTGGGGAACTTCCGAAAGGCGCCAGCCCCCCCACCCCCCCACTCGACCCGAACGGGGGCCTCACCGGCATGCACCCCCCTCTCCTGCCGCGGGGGGGAAGGTGGGGGAGCCCATCGCGCGGAGGGGGGGATTTTTATCTACAGACAAAAGGAGTCGCAGTGGGATGTGCAGCTGTAGAGGCACTGCGGGTCCATCTTTAAAGGGAGGAGGAAGGAAGGCAGGCAGGAAAAGGCCGCCGGAGGAGGCAGGAGAGCCGGCCAGGAAGGCAAGAGGGAGCGGAGCGCGGGCGGACCCCATCTACCGGCAGCCGGGAGAGAGGCAGCCAGGCAGGCCGAGCGAGAGAGGAGAGAGGAGCCCGGTGGGGGCGGGGGAGGGAAAGGACTGGGAGGACAAAACCAGGAGGAGGGAGCCGATGGCAGGCAGGGAAAAGTTAGAGGGGGGGGGGGCGAGGAGAAGCCCAGTTCACAAGTTACGCTGGACGCGAGTGCAGTCTTGAGAGTACAGAGTGCGCTCGATCGTTCTTTGGCCCTGCGTTCGGCGATTCTCACGTTGCACTCATTGCATGTACAGATGAACACGTGACACAAACCCCGCATGCACCGGTCCCCGGTTTTATTCGCGAAGTGATCGTACTTTGCCTTGATGCACATGTATGTGCACATGGAATTCACTGCCACAGGAAGTGGTGGCGGCTACAAGCATGGATGGCTTCAAAAGGGAATTAGATAAGCATATGGAGCAGAGGTCCATCAGTGGCTATTAGCCACAAGGTATAGATAGGGTCTCTGGGGCAAGTGATGCTCTGTTTTCTTGGTGCTGGGGGGGGGCAACAGTGGGAGGGCTTCTAATATCCTGGCCCCACTGGTGAACCTCCTGATGGCACCTGGTATTTCTGGCCACTGTGTGACACAGAGTGTTGGACTGGATGGGCCTTTGGCCTGATCCAACATTGGTGTCTCTTATGTTCTTAATTTACGTTCGTTCGCCGTGACACGTGAACAGGGCCACAGGGTACGTACTGCTGAATGCGTGATCCAAAAAAACCCCTTCGTTTATCCAGGCATTGGTCCCGAGTTGGATTCATAAAATGAGCAATGCGTTGGTTTGGCTCTATCATAGGAACAGATACAAAGGCATTCCCCGTGATACGTGAACTGGGCTACAGAGTGTGTGGATGGATGCAGAGAATCCAGAGAGGAAAAGAAGTCTGGGGATGCCTAGACGTCATCTACAGTACACATTGACTGCATCCGCATATTGTTAGATAGTGCACTGTGGTTGTGCTATAGCAGTGGTGGCGAACCTATGGCACGGGTGCCAGAGGCGGCACTCAGAGCCCTCTCTGTGGGCACGCGTGCCATCGCCCCAGCCAGGCCCAGACCATCATTAAAGTGTCGAATTCTCTGCCAAATAATTTTAAGTAAACGAAAGCATTTGGGATCGCTTTCCTTACTTTGTTTGGATCATCTTAAGTTAATGTATGAGTTTTTTTTTCTAAAGTAAAACCTCAGTAGTCAGGTTGAATTTCCGTGTTGGCCCTTTGCGATCAATAAGTGGCTTTTGGGTCGCAGTTTGGGCACTTGGTCTCTAAAAGGTTCACCATCACTGTGCTATAGTATGTGGTCTGCAACTGGATTGGCTTTTCTACACAGTTGTTGCAAATGGTTGTTATGGTGCAAAGGTAACGCATTGCCCAATGCTGTTTGGATGCGGCTATGAATGGTTAGATATTGTGCTCTTGTAGGCGCTGCAGCAATCAGTCTCAACCAAGACTGACCTGGATAGCCCAGGCTAGGCCAATCCCGTCAGATCTCGGAAGCTAAGTACAGTCGGCCTGGGCTGGTATTTAGAAGGGCAACCTCCAAGGAATACCAGGGCTGCGACGCAGCAGCAAACCACCTCTGAAACGTCTCCTGTCTTAAAAGCAAGTCTAGCTCACCACCTTGTGGTGCATAATGCTAAAGAGCTAGACTGTCTGACTGCCAGGCAATCTTAGGATCTCTTGGCTATTCTACACACAATGCCCTACAATAATTAATTAAGTAATTAATTAATTCACACACAGTCCACACAGGGAAATCCAGTAGCAAGTGAATTCTATTATGCTATGACAGGCTGTGTGGAAACCGCCTTAGATGGGTAGCCATGCACAGCGTTTCATCTATATTTCCCTCCTTCAAGGATGCTCTCAACATTTTTGAGGCACAGAAAAGCATTGTAACATGCACACCTGAAAACATTAGGTGTGGCTAAAAGGCACAGGATATTACAAGTTTGCTGAAACAAATTCCTGTATCTGGATCTCAGATGGAAGAACTAACCCAGCGGTTCGAAAGCATTAAATAGCAAGTAGATAAATTGGGTACCTGCCCCTAGGTGGCAGGGGGCACCCTCCTCCTCGTGAGGTGTGCAGCAGGAGCATCAGTGGCGGCGGCGGGGCGGCGGAAGCGGTGTGGTGGGCGAGCAGCCCTGGCGACCCAGTGAGCACGACGTCGAGCGACGGAGTCCGGCGGAGGCGGAGTCGTGGGGGCGCGGTGACGTGGCTGTGCGGTGGAGCCAGCAGGACGTGAGTCGGAGCTGCAGCTGGCGTGGGGCCGCGCACCAGGATGGGCCCGCCGGAGGAAGCCGCTGGACTGAAAAAGACCTGTTCCAAGGCACCAGGAGGTGGAACGCCGACACCCAAAGCCCGCTTGAAGGAGCCGGATAACAACATGCCTTGCTGCCTGGGTGCCAGTAGGAAGTCACTTCCCTATATAATGTGGCCCTAGATAGGAATTGAAATTGTATATAAACCACTCAGAGACCCTCCGGGGTTAGAGTGGTATATAAATTGAATGTTAAATAAATAAATAAATAAATAAAACTCCTGGGAAGTCTCTGTAAACCCCCTTTGGGTTCCATGACAGAAGAAAGGGGGTGCAAATAAATAAATATGGAAACAAAGTATAAGCCTGTGTTTTCAAGTTTACTTTACAGGTATACCCGTGACAGAGAGCCATGATTGGCCACAACTCCCTGTACATACAGCGGTGTGGAATGTATATTTATGCCAGCTAATACACTTAAAGGGGCTGCGGTGGCTCAGTGGTTAAGATGCTGAACTGCAGACTGGAAGGTCGGTAGTTCAGCAGTTTGAGACCCGAGTGCCACATGACAGAGTGAGCTCCCGTGTCGGGCCCCAGCTCCTGCCAACCTAGCAGTTCCAAAGCAAGAAATTGCAAGTAGATAAATAGGTACCGCTTCGGTGGGAAGGTAACAGCGTTCTGTGCACCTCGACGTCTAGTCATGCCAGCCACATGACCACGGAAATATCTTTGGACAGCGCTGGCTCTTTGGCTTGGAAACGGAGATGAGCACAGCAGCCCTAGAGTCGGATTCGACTGGCTTTCGAGCAAGGGAAACCTTAATACACTTAACTTTTCCTCTCGTTCCTTCTTCACAAAAGAAGTGGTCTTAAAGGAAGTAGGACGGGGCAGACTATGGGGTCCTTCTTCCGCAACAGGATATCTCCAAAACACCCTTTCACCTGTGCTGTGTAGCCCCACCTGTGTGTTTGTAGAACACCATATGGTTGGACTCGGCTGAGTATGACTAAGTCTGCACCCAGCTCTTGGGTGAGGCATGTTTTGATTGTGGGTGAAGACGTTTCTGCTCACCAGATGCCTGAAGTAAATGTCATTGCAGGATGATCCTAGGACCGCTGATTGCCCTCCCTCCTGGCACGCAGCTTCCTTGACCCGTCACAGCCCTGATTTATCTTCAGATAAACTTTCATATAAGAACCTAGAATGATTTTATGAACCAGTAACTGAAACTAGGGGAAACTGTCATTTCAGTATTTCCAAATGAGACATATTGTAGTGATGTTGTTAACAAAATACGGATTGCTGATGGAAAGCAATGCTACAGATGATCTTGAAAAGGGATTTGGGGTGGGCAGAACTGATCAAGGCAGGTGGGTAGCGTTTGGAGTGTTTCGGGGAACTTTACGGCCTCTTAAGGGGACTTTCAAGGACGGGAGACTTGGCCGCATTCCAACACGGCCACAATCCAGTGCATTCTTATTTGGCAGTAAGACCTCTTTCACACATTATAAAACACTCCCCATAAGTAAAAAGCTACCATGTCAAGGAGAACAGTTCTCACCTTTGTGGTGGAAGGGATGTGGGGAAGATGGGACGTATCTATACTGCTGGTGGGGTTGCCCAATGCTCACTCCCTTCTGGGATGAAATATTGGCTCAGGTTAAGACAATCACTGCATACACGATACCTAAATCTCCAGAACTTCTACCACTGAATATATGGACAGATTGGGACGTTCCATTGATTTGTAAGAATCTTTTAGCAATACTACTGCTAGTGGCTAAATCCCTGATTGCCCTACACTGGAAAACAAATCCCTACCAACAATATTACAATTGAAATGGAAAATATGGAATTATCTAATTATGGATAAATTATTGGTAAAAATTCCACCTAATGCAAACTAATGATTGGGGTTCTACTTTTATGGATAAATGGTCACTTTTCTTGGATTATATTTCTGAAAACAACTTGTGAGAAGATTCTATCCCAAACTGCTATACATTTATAACACTGTTTTAATGCCCTTTTGGTATAATAAGTCTTGTCTTTATTTCAATACCCTTGATATCTTTAATTTCATTAGACATTGTACTTCAAGCTTTTTGTATTTTTTTATATCTACCAAAGCTAGTAAGCATACATATTATGTCGACTGATTCATATTGGTCACATAACTGAGCCTTGTATTTTGTTTTTTTACTGATGAATAAGTTGTTGAAAATGTAGCTGAAAAATCTATTTTAAAAAGTAAAAAAGAGAAAGAAAGGAGAACAGTTCCAAGCCAGCTATCGTCCCATGCCAATTTCCTGCTTGCAAAGAAGGTTTTGTTCTATATAGAGAAACGTACAAAACGTAGTTCCCTCCCTGCAGTGTTAAGTGGAACAGTCCATTTAACTACTTGAGAACTTGACCACTTCCTACTGCATACATAGATCCAGCCTGTACCTCACTGAGTTGAGGGGGTGGGCTTCCTTTCAAATAAAAGCACTTGAGGCTGGAGTGAGAATTGCCTGTTTTAGCATTTAGCAAAGCTGTCTGACAGACTTCCAGGTGAGACACCTGCATTCCATTCCCCTTTCAACTTGGCCAGTTCTGGGACTCCCTGGAGCCAAAGTAGGCCCCCCGCAACAGGTGGCTGCTACGGGTCACAATGGGAGGGTCACTTTATTTGGACACCGCCCAGGATGATGCCAATTAAAGGGTTTTATAACAGATTGATAGTGTTTGCCCAGCAGGCAGGTTCCCAAGATAAGGTGACACTGTTATCTCCCCTCACGGACGGTATAAAATCCAGGGTTTCCCTTCGGTGGATTTTGCAGACCACAAGCAGGGACAGCCAGGGCTGCAGAAAAGGCCAGGTAAGTAGTGGATCTTTCACAGGAACGTGCTACAAAACAAAGAGCTCTTTGTCCTCCAAATTGGGGTGTGGGGGGTGGACTATCTCTGTCCCAAGTAGTGTGGCTGTTTTATGGGTCCCTATGTGGTGTTGGAGTTGACTTCTGGGGGAAATCTGTAGCTCCCGTGCCCCACAAAAGGCCCAATGCTGCAAACTCTACCCATCTGACTTCACCCCTAATCAGGGGTGGGGCTGACAGTGGATTTTTGAAGAGAATTGTCACCCTTATTTATTTAGGAGCTTTCTGTGCCATCTCTTCAGAGCCCTGCTCCAAGTGACTTGCAATTAAAAGGGCTGAAGTGGTCAGGGGAGGCTGGAGGATAAGGATAATTTAAGGAAATCACTATTTAGGGAAATTGTTATAAGAAGATCAAAGCTCATAGAACTTAAATAACTTGTTCTTAAGTTCATATTTTTCTGACACTAGCAGTCTGTAGACAGTAAAACATGCATGGTTACTTGAGCTTGGCAAGAAAGCTCTATCTAAACATTTCTGTTGTTTATGAGGAAATCTGTAATTCTCTGTTAATTTCTTTGAAGTTGAGTCCCCCCCCCCCAAATGTAGCAACTTTTCCTAGTGAGGAAGAATAATTCTGAGCATAACCCCCTTCTATTTTATCCAACCACACACACACACAAAACATAAGAGGAAGGTTAGGCTGTGAGAAAGTGACCATCCCAACATCAGCTTTCGTGGCTAATCAGAGATCTGAATGGGAATTTTCCCAGTAATGTAACTCTCTAACCATTACAACCGCATTGGTTCTCAGCATGGCAAACAAAGAGACATGACAGGACTTCTCTCTGTGTTGTGCTGGTTTCCTGTCAGGAGATTTTGAGGTTGAGGGACCATTCAGTGTGAGAATCCACCACCTGCCATGTGAAGTTTCTGTCACCCCAGGACTGCCATTTCATTCCAACTCCATTCTTTTGCACGTACGAAGCTTAGTGTTGTTATGAAGCAAGGCGTCAGCAGCCGGTTCTGGCCTTTCTTAGTATTAACAGGTATTTTTTTATCAGTTTAACTCTGTAACCAGTGTTCCCTCTAAGCTGAGTTAGTGTGAGCTAGCTCACAGTTCTTTAGCCTCCGGCTCACAGGTTTTTGCCTTAGCTCGGGAAGGAGGGCTCCAGAGCAAGCTAGTTGATGCAGTCGCCAAACTGCTCACTCACAACTTTAATGCCAGGAGCTCACAAAGTGGAATTTTTGCTCACAAGGTTCCGCAGCTTAGAGGGAACATTGTCTGTAACCCAAGCCTGTGGTTGGTGGAAGTGCTCAGCATTCAAAGATCTTAATAAACTGACTGTCCTCCCTTCAAAACTCTTTTTTCTAGGATGTTCAGTTTCACCCTCCTCGCTTTGCTCTGTTGTGGCATCTTCGTCAGTTCAGGTAAAACCCAGCTGCGGATCACTGTTCCTTAGGCGATGTGATATTCGGGTGCAGGAGTAGGCCGTGTGCCCCTGTATGTCATTAATGAATGAATGGATTGGATTTTTAGTCACCGCTCACCTGAAGGGTCTCGTGGTGACTTGCAGCATTAAAACCGATAAGGTAAAAACAACATAAATGCAAATAAGAAATATAAAATATTAACATTAAAATATTAAATTATTAAAATATGTGGTTGTCACCATACCACTATTAAAACAGCCCAAACGTGTGGTTACTCTCCAAAGGCCAACCTAAACGATTCCACCTGGCATGCCCTGCAGAAACTAAACAAGTCTGGCAGCACACAGTTGTCATCCGAGAGTGCATCCCACAGGGCAGGTGCCACGACCGAGAAAGCCCTTCTCCTGGCAACAACTAAACAAGCCATCCTGGGGCCAGGCACCTGCTAGAGGCCCCTAGAGGATGACCAAAGAAACTGCAGGGGGTTCTAACGGGAGAGGTGGTCCCATAGTTATGAGGGTCCCAGACCACTAAGGGCTTTAAAGGTTAATACCAACACCTTTAATTGGATCTGGATACTAATTGGTAGTTGGTCGCCGGGTCCGTCTGAAATGCTGATGGGGGATGGGGGGGACATTCCAGGAGTGGGTAAAATCAGCCTCAAACAATAGAGTTTTGCCCCAAAACCAGAACATCGCCCTCCAACATCACTGACATGCCTATGTCACTTCCGGGTGATGTAGGCATATCACATTTATTTCCAGCAATGTCGCTTGGGGGGAGGGTTTCTTCCTGCCAACCAGCAGGAGCAAAAAAACCCCCAGGTAACCCCCCACCCCCAACTGGGAATGGCGACCAATTGGTAGCCAGTGCAGCTGCTGCAGAAATGGGACAATATGAGCTGACCAAGATGTTCCAGGTAATGACTTCTGATATTTCTTTCCAAAACATTATTATTATTGTATCACTAGAAAAGAGTAAGAGTCCAGTAGCACCTTAAAGACTAACAAAATTTGTGGTGGGATATGAACTTTTGTGAGTCACTGCTCACAAATGTTGTTCGTTTCTAAGGCGCTACTGGACTCTTACTCTTTTTTACTGCTACAGACAGACTGACATGGCTACCCATCTTGATAGCATCATCATCATCATCATCATCATCATTATTATTCAAAGCCAGAACAGGTGTAAGACGTCTGCTGTTGATCCCTGGTAGCACCAACACTTATCTAATACTAGACAGTATATATCATTTATATAGTGTCAAATACCATTGAAACTGCATTTTATATTAAAAAAAATCCCTCAAGTCAATCAATATTAGTTTAGAGAAAGTTTTTTTTAGCAGTTCAGCACCTGCTGTTATAACACCCAGATCTTTATTCTAATTTTATTAAAACTGCAAAAGACTATTCTTTAAAATGTAAAAGACTTTCTACTTACTATTGCAACTTTTAGTTTGTGACATGACAGCTTTTATTTAAAGATCTACAGCTTACCTGTAGCATAGGGAAGCCTCTAGTTTTTTTTTTTTTAAAAAAATCAGTAGCAGTGGGTGTTCCCCGAAACACTCCAAACGCTACCCACCTGCCTTGATCAGTTCTGCCCACCCCAAATCCCCTTTCAAGATCATCTGTAGCATTGCTTTCTGTCAGCAATTCAAACTCAGATGTTTCTAAGAGATCCATATTACCTTAACAACAGCATTACAATATAGATCCAGGTGGTCAGCCATGTTGGTTTGAAGCAGTGGAACAAATTTAGAGTCCAGTGGGCTCTTTTTGTAGCAGGTACTCATTTGCATATTAAGCGACACACCCCTAATGTAGCCAATCCTCCAAGAGCTTACAGTAGCTCCTGTAAGAAGAGCTCTGTAAGCTTTTGGAGGATTGGCTACATTAGGGGGTGTGGCCTAATATGCAAAGGAGTTCCTGCTACAAAAAGAGCCCTAATTGGTCTTGAAGGTGCCACTGGATTCTAAATTTGTTCTACCATTACAATATGTCTCATTTGGAAATACTGAAATAATCAATCAATCCAGTTACCTTTATTGGCATGTAACCCTTGCAAACCAATATACAACAAGGAAACAACAACAACCACAGCATAGAATAATACTTGCAAAATACAGAGACGAGGAATTACCAAGTAAGTATCCCCATCAATTAAATAAAGGGCGAATAGAAATGGCACCAAGAAGAAATTTAGCAACAGTTTCCGTTATCTCAAGGTTTGGATTATCAAGAAGAATAAGGATCTTTAGGCAATCAGGATATTCTTCTAACTGAGCCAAAATAAAATTTAGAAATTTCAGTCGTAGTGCATGGTAGAAGGGGCACTGCAACAAGACATGGGGAAACGTTTCCATATTATCATTTGTGCATGGACAATATCTGTCAGAAAGGGGCACACCCTGAAAGCAGCCAGGTAATAAGGCCGAAGGTAATACATTGAATCTCGCCAAAGAGAGGGCTCTACAGAGTTTGGGGGTGTTAAGTTGGTACAGGTAAGAGGCAGCTTGGCCAACTTTAGGAGATATTCCAAAATACAGGGGTACTGAAATAATAGTTTCCCATAGTTTCCATTATTGGTTCATCAAATCATTCTACGTTCTTATATGAAAGTTTACCTGAAGATATTTCTCCAGGACTCTTTGAAACACTAAGGCTCACCAAGAGAGAACTGGAGGAAAAAACTTGTTTTATTTTACACCAAACTGTCAGGAAAGATAGTACTGAGGGAATCTAGCCTCTCTCCTGATACCAACTGACTAGGCTCTAGCTTAATTTCTTTTGGTTGTCCTACCATAGTAGTGTCACCATATTTCCTCTCCTTCATTGTGACTAGGCTTGTGAACTGATACTAGAACGGACACGCTATACTTCTTTAACCTTTTCTCCCTCTGTCTTTTATTTTAGGAAACGTTCTGCAACGGTCTTCTTCATCTTCTGGAGAATATGGTGGGACTGGAGGAAAGCGATTCTCACACTCTGGAAACCAACTGGATGGGCGTATAACGGCCATTAGGGTTCGAGTTAACCGCTGGTACATTGTGGGGTAAGTGAATGAAGGCCCAGAGTAGAGGAATCGCACGTAGGGGTGGAGGCTGAGCATGAGGTAAGATTTTAAAAAAGCGCACAGCCGAGTGCAAAATAAGACTTCCCTTTTTCCTGTGTGGTGGAAAATTTAGGAACACCTTTCTAAACATCCGTTTCCCTCATAGCAGGCAGCCCTCAGGACTGATCATGCTTACATTACATGCAAATTTAAGGGTCAAGAAAGAAATGGTAGGGATACTGCAGGCAGCCTATTTATTTATTTATTTATTTGTCAGATTTGCACCTTGGCCTCCCGGCCGAGGCCAGCTCAGGGCGGCTTACAGAGTAAAACGTATGAATTACAATTAAAACAATTTAATTGAATTGGAATTACAATTAAAACAATTTAAAAACCAACTAAAACCATCTAATATAATAAAGTGCTAATCGTCATATATTGTTTAGCGATGGCAGCCGTTCCGCAATGGCCCCTTCTCGGCTCCCACGTCTTTCCTTTACGTGGCTGCAGCCTGCAGGGTCCATTTCGTAGAAAAAGAGCGGCAGGAGCTCATTAGCATATCTAATAGGCTATTAGCATAATAGCTCGTTAGCATATGCCGTGCCCCCTGACATCACCGGAAGTGGTGTCAGAAAGGGAAGCAAAGGGGGGGCATCTTCAAAAGCCTCCCCTTCCCTAGCTGTCCTGCCAAGGCGGACGGGGGGGGGGGGGGCAAAGGGGGAAAGAGAGAAACCCCTTCTCTCTAGAGTCATCTTTCCATTATATTCTATAGGGGCACAGAATACAATGGAAAGATGCCACTGGGGCACAACTCCAGAGAGAAGGGGTTTAAACTTAAACCCTCTCTCTCTTCGCTTCCCTCCCCCAGCCCACCTTGGCAGGCCAGCTGGGGAAGGGGAAGTTTTTGAAGATGCCTCTCCCCCCTTTTTTTGCTTCCCCAGCCAGTCTGCTTCTGGAGACACACACCCCGCCCTCTCCTGGCTCACCTGCCTTAGCGGGGGAACCAGGAAGGGCCGGGGAGACATTTAAATGCCTCCCATGCCTTCCTTGGCTCGCCCGCCCAAGCAGGTAAGCCGAGGAAGGCTCCTAGTGCCCCCCGCCCTCTCCTGGCTCGCCTGCCTGGCGGGGGGGGCATATTCTATGGCACGGGGGCGGGGCTGCCAGAGCGGTGCTCCAGCCCCAAATGACCCCTGGGCAGCTGGTACAGGCTGCTGTTGTTGGCGACTCCAGGAGGCAGGGCTCTCTATCTTCAGCTGTTAAAGGCAGCTCCTTAATTGAAGGCCTGGTGGTAGGGTTGCCAAGTCGATCGGAGCTCCGCGGCGGGGGGGACTCCCGCCTGGCGTCTTTTGTGCGCGGAACTGGATATGGTCCCGCAGGGCCCTGATCTCTTCTGGGAGCTCACTGATTGATTGATACTAGCCTCATGGCAGGAACAGAGCAGGCCCTAGAGTCCAAACAAATCTCAAAATTTATCCAGAAAATGCCAGCCCCCAAGTCCGGTCGGGGATTACCCCGCTTTTGGGGGCTCCAATCCTTCCAAGGCCAGTTTAGAAAAATAAAAGATTCGGGGGAGACATGACAGAGGTCTTACAATGATGGAGAGTGT